GTGTGTGTGTGTGTGTGTGTGTGTGTGTGTGTGTGTGTGTGTGTGTGTGCGTGCGCCTGCCAGCTCCACGAGGCTCTCTGAACATGCAGGGCTAGCTTGAAGTCACCTTTGAACTGTTTGCTGTCTGGAGACAGCTTGTCATTCTAACATCATGGGTGCTTTTTGATTTCTGAGACAGGGTTCCTCTGTGTAGCCTTGGCTGTCCTGAACTCACTTTGTAGATCAGGCTGGCCTCGAACTCAGAGAGATCCGCCTGCCCGTGCCTCCTGGGTGCTGGGATTATATAGGCGCCGCCTCGCCTGCCATCAGCTCTGGTATGTGCTGTCTTTATGCAGGCATGCGTGTTCACGGGCCAACATTGCGTGTCGTTTCTCAGGAGCCACCACCATTTGGTGGTGGTGGTGGGTTGTTTGTTGTTGTTGAGACATGGTCTCGTACTAGCCTGGAACTCCTTTAGTAAGCTGGCCAGTGAGGCCCGGTGTTCTCCTGCCTCTGCCTGCCCTACGCTAGCGTTACGAGTGTGCACCCTTTCCTACATTTTTGTGGAATCCTGGGCATTGAACTCGGAGTCCCATGTTTGTGTGGTAAGCACTCCTAACCCTTCTTTTTTTAAAATTTTTATTGATTGTTTTATTTTTTGTTTGCTTTTTGTTTTTTTCTGAGACAGGGTCTTGCTATATAGTCCTGGCCTGGCCCAGAACTCACTATATAGACCAGGCTGGCCTGGAACTCATAGAGAACCACCTGCCTCTACCCCCCGAGTGCTGGGACTAAAAGCCTTTCAACACTACTGCTGGCCTGTCTTCCTCTTCCTCATCTTCTTTCTTCTTGAAAGGAGCATTTAGGGCTAGGGCCATGGCTCAGTGAGTAAACACGGCAGACATGGTGACGCAAGTACAAATAAAAGTGCGACACCTATGTAAAAGGCTGGATGTGGCCATACATGCAGCCTCAACACTGAGGCAGAGGCAGGAGGATAGGCGGGGCTTGCTCGCCACCAGCCTGGCTCCGGGCTCAGTGAGAGACCCCATCAGGAAAAGGAGGAGAGTGACAGAGCAGGCCACCCGATGTCCTCCTCTGGCCTCGGGGCCATGAACGTGCCCACACACAAAATATAGAAGCCGCTGAGAATGTGCCTTCATTCTTGTGCAGGCGCATGCTAATGTCAGCCTTCCCTAGTTTAGTGTAAATGACGGTGAAGCAAGTAGATCCAGACAGTGTGCCACAGCGCAAGCTGGCCTTGAGCTCCTGCCTCTGGTTCCGAGTGCTGGGGTTCCAGGCCCACGTCACCACAGCAGCCACAGGAAGTCTTGGGTTTGAAGAGGCACCAGGGTGAATGTGTTGCCTTCACCTGGGCTCTGTGACTAGTACCAGACCTACCCACAAGGCTCTTTGTCCCCTCTGGCCTTCCTCCATCTGCTGGGAAAGACAAGCCCCAACATGGCAGGGCTGGACCTACCCAGCTTGTGCTCAAATGAAATCTTGTGAGATGAATGCCTGCCTGGGTGAGAACTCGGGGATTTTATTATTGCCAGAGACATTAAAGAGGTTTCTATCAAGCCACCAAACAAGTGTGGCGTTGTCGTAATGCTGGGAATGAAATCTCAACCCCCTGTTCTGTCCTAGAGGAGTGAAATGAAATTTCACAGCTCTGTGCTCAGCCAGTGTTATAAAGTGGAGGGCCCGAGGCAGAACCTCCACCAGCCCCTCCTCCCGCTGGTAGCCTGTGCAGATGTCACCCTCAGGGCAGACGCACACCAAACATCATGAGATTGTGCCCTAGAGGTGGCTGAGGTACTAGGAACCCACAATGGCCACCCGTTAGCAGGAAAATGGAGGTTGCTGGGCCAAGGGGAGGGATGGGCAGCATGTGCTCCAGGGTCCTGGATTGTGATCCTGCTTCCTACCACCCCTCTGCTAGCCCACAAACCCAAAGCGGCCAGCCATCATTAGGTGCAAGGCCACCACGGAGAATTCTGCCCTGGTTGCCTGCCTCCCCAGTACCCTCAATGACTCAGCTGTGGTCCATGGAGTCAACAGCAAAAAATAACAGCACGAGGGTGAGCACCACCTCGCCAGTCGTGGGTGAGTCCCCATGTGTCTTCGGAGGAGCCCAGGCCTGGCTGGCATGCAGCAGGAGACTCGGGGTGCCAGCAGCCATCACAGAACAAGACCACAAGAAGCCACAGCCACCACATACAAATCCATGAACCTAGCCAGGGCAGGCGGCGGGAGGACAGCCACGAGGACACGACCCCACTCAAGGAAGAGATGCTCGCTCGCTTGCAGTCCCTGGCCACCGTGGTATGAGCTGCCGCCGCCTGCACTTACGTATCTCAAAGCAGCCCTGAGCTGGGATATGTGATCTTGTAGCCAGATGGCAATGCCCCAGCGCCACCTCAGGAGTCAAAGAAGGTTCTCGCCCACGCCTGAGGCCACACTGCGCCCTCCCTGGGCGGGATGATGTGGCCCTGATGTTCCTGCTATCCGAGTCTGAGGAACCACTCCTGAGCATTTTCGCCGAAGGAGCATCTGGCCTCCACTGCACCCTCATGGCTTTTTAGAACACGCTCCCCTCACCAGGTCCCTGGCTATGGACCTGGCCAGGTTGGGCTTGAGCTAGCTCACCTTGGGGCCTGTACCACCCTCTATTGTACCATGGAGAAGCCTGTCCCCACCCAAGTCCAAAGGACAAAGGAGCAGGGGCCCAGTCTGGCCTGGAGGGCAGTGTGGAGCACGTAGCAGCGATAAGAGTGGAGGGCGAGCACCCACACGTGATCACCCCCACCGCGCTGCCAGGCCAGGGGAGGGAACCTCATGCCCGACCTTGGCCAGGTGTAGGGCCACAGCTGAGCTGTGGGAGGCACAGGGATCCATCAGGCCAGGCTGGGACACAGTGACAGCGCTAGCCGGGTAGGTGTGAGGAAGCTGTGGTCATAGGGACACCAACCAGTCTGTGGGTTCAGCCACCACCCTCCTTTCCTCAAGTCCAAGCAGCCCGCTCAAACTGTCAGCACAGACTTCTAGTCCCCGGCACCAGCCAGGCCCAGGGGCATTCGCTCCAGACTCAAGGGCAACGGGGCACGGTCCTCTGTCCTCACGCACAACCCTTCCGAGCGAGGGCCCTGCCTGGGGACCACAGCTTCCTTTCATTCTCCGGGCTGGATTTAAAGGGTTGGAGAGACGCTGCC